TAGCTCCTCGGAGCCACTTCCGGTATACATCGCTCGCTCATCACCGGAAGTAGAATGCCAGGGGCGAGGAAACAGATCAGTCATGGGCATTAACCAAGGCCATGACAAATGTATTGTATGTGCAATGGGTTCAACCTGGGGTTTCATCCCGCTTAAAAGATTACTTCTGCCATCTCGTGATGAGGAGGAGGAAAGAAGATATGGCCGGTGGGGATTTCCGGTTCCTGGCAGTCTGCAATGTCCGTAGACTTAAGTAGAGTGAGTGAGTTTTACGCCGCTTTTAGCAACATTCCAGCAATATCACGGCGGGGGACACCAGAAATGGGCTTCACTTTTTGTACCCATGTGGGGAAACGAACCTGGGTCTTCAACGTGACGAGCGAACGCTTTAACCACTAGGCTACCCCACCGCCCCCCATGGACTTAATGGATTTGGTGGTCAGATTCAGTGATTTACTGACTGTTTTTCATGTTTCCTGATGCAGTGGAGAGGTGCTCATAACATCAAACACTGGTTTGTGGCGATTATGTTCAGGCCATCGTCACATTGTTGGATCACTGCTGAGTGTTGCACTTAACCAGCGAAAAAAGCTGTGATGGTCGCCGATGTGGACGTTTACGCCTGGTGTACAACCTTCTGTTCGGCCTCGCAATAAACCGTAGGCTAAATTATTTCTGACAATTGACGTTTGATGAGCAGTATCATAGCTTATTTATTACCGGCGCAAAGGTAAAGAGCATATAAATGCATCAATGAAAATCAGTGATGACACCGGGTGTTCCGTAAAGACAAAGCAAATCCTGCTCCACCATTAGCAACCGCGACTAAGAAATCTGGCAAGAGCAGGTGTCAGTATCAGTATATTGAAGCCTCATTATCTCGTGGATAAGGGAAATAACAGTACTTAAATTCTTAATGCATTGATTTATATGTTTTTGGAGACGGAGGGCTGATATTTGACACTAAACCCGATAAACTGACTATATGAAGATATCGCCATATACAGAAGCCCCAGTCACCGGAGTGCGACTCATTAATGTTCACTGTATTATTACTCATCTTTCAGGTTGCCATTTCAAAGACATGTCAATCTTTTTCGTAACCACACGTCTGGTAAACTAATACCGTTCATCGGTTTGTTGTAGCCTATAAGATTATACTTACGTTGGAGCAGGCAAACCTCTGGTATTCTACTCCATGGAGATCCGAACAGTTACATGGTACAGTACAGCTTTAGACTTGCACCGAGGTTGCACCTTATCTTTAAGTTGCCCTGCAAGGCCTTTGTATTATACAACACGCACGTCATACAATAGTGAGTGGGTGAGTTTAGTTTTACGCCGCACTCAGTAATATTCCATCTATGTGGCGGCGGTCTATAAATAATCGAGTCTGGACCAAACATTCCAGTGATCAACATTATGAACATCAATCTATGCAATTGGGATACGATGACATGTGTCAACCAAGTCAGCGAGCCTGACCACCCGATCCCGGAGTCACCAGAAATGGGCTTCACACATTGTGGGGAATCAAACTCGAGTCTTCGGCGTGACGAGCGAGCGCTTTAACCACCAGGCTACCCTACCGCCCCGATTGGATACCGACACAGATTTGCATTGGGCAGCATAAACGGTGAGATAGTGGTGAAAAACATACGAATGGGACCCTGAAACTCAGTGATGACGCCCGGTGTTTGCAATAAGAGAAAGAAACGTATTCTATCCATACACCGAGGATTGTCGACATTATGGCTACTAATTCAGGTTCCGCTTTAACCACCAATACAAAAGTCGCATTTAAATTCACAATTGTAAATAGACGTCAAAGAACGCAATTTCATGCAAACGGGATGCTGAATTATGAATAAAACTACCACTTTCAAATGGAATAGAAGATTTGTAACAGTTAATACAGAATCTGAATGAGATCGTATTTTACTCTAAGTCCGTAGCATTCACCATAACCTTTTTTAGAATCTCCAGAAAGCTGGTAATGAAAGCTTGATGCGGATTGTCAGATCCTAGTGAACCAAACAAAGCCATAAAGAAAGATTGTTTCTTCTCGGAGTTGAACTGATTGGCAGGGTAGAAAATGTGCTATCCCTGTGGAAATGTCACCTCGTATATGAGGCCTCTTTTATGAGGTCTTGGTGCATGACTAGAACCGGAAACGAGTTGAGAGCGCTATTAGCCCCTATCTACTGACAAGATCACAAGCGAGAAAAGTGCACGGGAGTGATTTCTTAGGATCCGCTGAACGTGCTTGTATCGACTGAGGAGCTTTCTTTCAAAAGAAAAAGTTCATGACCTGATTCTACAAATCATCTGAAGACTGTCTTTCAGGTGCTGATCTAACTACGGCGTGGTACCACGGTGGGCTAGCATCATAAATTCAGCATTAGTCTGGACTATAGCACACAGACACACACGTCTGTTGTTTTGTTCCATTTAGCACCTCCCACTGTACAAATAAGGCCAAGGTAGATTTAAGGGCTCTACCCACCTTGCAGTAAAAAGTGCAGTGATCTTGAAAGCAACCTTCAACTTCACTTTAGCCTAGACCTCTTAATAAGACTGGAGTCTTAACTGCATTATATGTGATGCATATTCATTTTAAATATTTTAAAATTGTTCATGTAATTTGAATCATTATCCATATTATTATAAAAACATAAATAAACCAGATCGCCGGTCAAGGCAAGCTGGGATGACCAAAGTGGTTAAAGAATGTAATTTGCAATGCAGAGTTGCGGCCCTTTTGCGTGGCAGGAGCGATCGCGGGTTTGAGTTTAAATTTTTCACGATTGTGTATTTTCGTTTGTCAGCACCATTCTGGGTCTCGTGGGTTTCACCAACGTGGTAGACGTGTAAAATCTGCATCACTGCAGACTTCGCCTTTGGTTATACCTCCAGCACCTTGTGTGTGACGGTCAATATCTGTATGAAGAATCTGCCAGGGAGGGGACAATTATATCTCAGAAAAACCCTGACGCAGAAGATTCTCTGAAGTCTGTGGGGAAGGTATGGATTAGTGGCCACGTCGACGGTTGAGATGTAGTTTATTGAGCACCTGCCAACATGACGCCCAAACTAGGGTCTTTCTCTTCAATTAAACCTAAATAACCGAGAGCAATTCTGAAACGTCGAGGCAACGATGCTGCACATTGAAGCAATTCAACTGGACACTGTTTTCAACTTTCTCTATTCGATTTGATGAGCAATTCAGGCTGACGGGAGATGTTTCTATTTCTATTTTGTCAATGTTCTTTTGATGGCTCAACTGTTTGTTCGAGATTAAAATGTGTTTGGAGCCATTGTGAAAGAGGCATCCCCATGGTAGGGTTGAGTGAGTGAGTTAGTATGGTTTTACGTTGCTTTTATCAATAATGGAGCAATGTCACGGCGAGGAACACAAGAAGTCAGCTTCACCCATTGTACCATTTGGGGAATCGCACATGATCTTCAGCGTGATGCCTTCTACCCCGCCGCCCCTAGTAGGATAGCAGTACAACAGTATCCTGAGTTTACCACAGAACTTAACGTATGTACATTTCATGTATAGAAAGGACAGGACCAACTGATTTTTGCCTTCAGATGTCACCACTGTCATGGTGAAGAAGAAAGGACTGCGCCATGGTGACAGTTTAATGTTTCAGAGCGAGTTTCCCACAACTTTTCACAGCTTGACGTGGAAGGAATGCCTGAAGAGATGCAGGTCCTAGACTTTACCGCTTCAGTGAAGCCAGTAAGCACTAATATGGTGCTGACAAACCTAAAACCAGTATCTTGGATTCGAACCCAATATTCTACAAATGGTCTAAATGAACATAACCAATAAACACTAGCTATTGCACCAGTGTTGGTCAGTTGTACATATTGCCTCCACTACAGTGTGCTTTTCAGCCTAGAGCGTCCACTCGTCACGCTAAAGACCCGGGTTCGATTCCCCACATGAGTACAATGTTTGAAGCCCATTTCTGGTGTCCCCCGCCATGATATTGCTGGAATATTGCTAAAAGCAGCGTCAAACCATACTCACTCTGAGTACACCTCTGGAAGAAGCCTACAATGTATACATTCCACGATGGTGTAGGTAATCGAGATATAGATAGATAGATAGATAGATAGATAGATAGATAGATAGATAGATAGATAGATAGATAGATAGATAGATAGATAGATAGATAGATAGATAGATAGATAGATAGATAGATAGATAGATAGATAGATAGAGATAGATAGATACTTAAACTAAGCTATACAGTCTAAACGTACTATACAACCAGTCGTACAAGAATCAGAGATTCTAGCAACATGTACATCGGATCCAGAAGGGGTGCACACCCCCTTTGTCTTGAAAGTTTATTAAATAACCATTGAAACTCGGGTGTAAATGAAATGTGAACCCTCCCTTTTCTCAATAGTGCAGCCCCCCTTTCTAAAATAGCTGTATCCGCCCCTGATGTACACCATCGGTCTGTCACTATGCCAACTGACCATTCCTTGACTGGTTCAGTCGGTTACTCAACACATACACGTTTATAACACCCGATGCAGAAGGAGACAAACACGTTTTCCAGAACCAGTGCAATATGTATTTCAAAACTTCAGTCATGTCTTGTAAAGATTTAAGTTTTATGTGTAAAGTCCGAAGACAATTGTGCTTTTGAGAATGGTAAAAACCTACAGGGCTTCTTGTCTTCAAAATAATTTGTTTTCTGTTTGTTTTCTAAATTTAAACGGTTTTGGGTTTTTTAAATGTGGTTTCTTGTTAACTTAAATGAGTTAACCTCACACATTCTTGAATATTTTTAACCACCGTGCCACAAGCTATCGCAGGCTCTCAAATGGGAAAAATCAATACAACAAAAACCGTCCTCACTGAAATACTTGATGTCAGCGTCACTATGAGCCTATACAGTGATCGAGTAAGCCAAGCAGTGATTTAAAGGTAAACCATACATCTAAGCAGAAAATAACTTAAAATGTCAACATACCAGCACGGGCGCCAACTACGGACGCGATGACCAGCAACATCGTCCCCGTCGTCATTGTCGTGGACGTGGTGTGCGTTTCAAATATAACGACGTTGGTTATAGGATTAAGTCTCCTCGGCCCTTCTTCCAATCACTGATTACACTTGGCGGGAGAGACTCGGGACAAAATTGAATTAACGGTGAGAATGTGAGAAAGTTCTCTCCAGCATGCCAAGTCGAGGTAGATTTACGACTCATATATTGAGTTTCTTCAGAGAAAAAAACATGTTTGCGATCCTGAACGTTATCTGTTTTGATCTATTTCATTTTATATTGATTGTCTTCCACTTGTTCATACGTTGTCATTGTTTATGATGATGCATTATTGCCAACTGCGGTCATAATTACGTTTGTTAAGGTGTTTACCGTCAAGCTGTACATCACATACACTGTTGGAGCATTGGAAGTTATTAGAATATTGATTACATGTAGAAGGATTTTGAATGATGTTCCTAATTAGCATGCTATATTTTCATTTAGAGCTGTCACCTGTTGATTTGTCGGCGCTATGTTGAATTTGTAACAGTAAACCTTATAATGAGGAAGCGGTATTACTAAGGTTACTGCGTCACCCGAACCACCTCCCCCAAAACCCGCTATTAACGTACACCAACCCCCAAACTCCCTTCTCCTCGGAATATCGGTTGGTGTCAGCCGTACGGACATGATGTCAACGTTAGGGGACGAAGACAACTATAGGGGACAGTGTCAACGTTAGGGCTACTCTATGGAACGGTGTAAATGTTAAGGGACACTGGCAACTATAGGGGACGGTGTCATCGTTAGGGGACGATTAAAAACCTCAGAATTTTATTCAACTAAGGATGAAAGTTGTTTAACAAACGATCATAGTTTCAAATCGCTATTATTGGTTTGTATTACAGGGGGGTATGCACATTAATGGAAACCCCGAGAGAAATTCTGAGATTTAAATGTTCAATTGGCAAGGTAAAAGTATGAAGATTCGCAATCTTAATTTCACTTTATTTGATTTACTTTTTTGTTTAAAGTGAAATTCATCGGTACGTTTTCACTGCAAACAGACTTTAACTGGGGTTTCATACATGAACCCAAACAGGCAATATTTACAAGACTGAAGTCAGGGTTGTGCTGGATTGCGTAGTCATGCACCATGACTGTAATATGTATTTAATACAACTAAATCCAATCTAAAAAGGCAAGTCAAGCCCTCAGTTCCATCAGCATCAGGCAAATTAGTCGCGACTGCGTTTACGTTACGTGACAGTTAACCTGAAAGCGATGTGGTGCATTATGTAAAGCTATGTGTATTGCGGTGGGCGTGCGTGTGTTATGTATGTGTGGCGGCTGAATGTACGCTTCCAGACTAATCCGGTTATAGTGCTTTTGTTTGTTGTATGTTTGTTGTTTAGGGACCGTTCATAATTCAAGGCTAGGGGTGGGGGTGATGGAAAAGTATGTACAATGTGAATGCCACCCACCCCCTCCACTAAAATTTCTGTTCAAAGTAAATTACCCCGCCCTGCTTGTGATGTACAAAATCAATGACCCCAAACCCCTCCGTTCCCACATTTTTTAAACATAAATTTTAAATATATCTATGTACATAAGTATTGACTCCCCTCCAGTTCATGTGCAAAATTGATGACCCCCTACCTCCCCAGAACAAAATGGGTACCCCACCCCCACTTACCCCAAATCCCCACCAACCCCTAGCCATAAATTATGAACCGCAATATTCCAGCTATATGGCGGCGGTCTGAAGGTTATCGAGTCTGGACAAGACAACCCAGTGTTCAACAGTATAGTTTTTTGATGACGTAACAATTGAATGACGTTATCCCGTCACTGCGCCATTCTAGTGTGCCCCCTCGTAATCGAACCATTTTACATTACGTCACAATGTAAGCGACGTCACGATGCATGTCAGTTGTCATCGCCTCGTACGGCCTCCTACAGTACACTACACCGTTGCATCCAGTTTCTTGGTTTGCTGTTGCTTCACGCAGCTAACATCACTGGTGGAAACATTACGTTTATGTTTTACGACGGTTAAAATGTGTCATTTCGACTCACAAGTTTTCAGCGACACGGTAACGTTCGTAATGTTTACATTCCCACAATGCGATTGTGGAATGTCGCTTGACTACTCAACTTCCTCTGGATGTACTGATCTAAACTTACGCTGGTAGTAGAAATGCAACGTTCATATTGCCCTATATGGTTTACGTTAATGACAGATGTAATTAAAATTATTCAGAGAAGATATTTAATCCGAACGTAAACCGTCATCAAACTGTTATCATTTGTTTTTTTTTCTGGTAACGTTCGTCTTAACGTAGGGGGCAGACACATCAATAGAACAGCGCGCCAGTTAGCCCTGTGCGAGGATTCTTAATTTAGGTCACCGACACCGTCGTTTGTTTTCTGCCTTAAATTAATGGTAATTATCTTTAGAAAATATTAAATTTGGCATCTTAGAAAAGAAATACACTTCGCCCTACCACCATGTATAGTGTAATAAAACATACTTTCGCCCTGAACTATTATAACGTTAAAGCACTCGGACGCAAGCGTCCTCGTGCTTTAACTATAATAGTTCAGGGCAAAAGTGTGTTTTATTACACTATACATGGTGGTAGAGCGAAGTGTATTTCTTAACTAGACACCCTGGGCCCGGTTGTTCAAAACTCGGTTATCTTTTAACCAGCCGTTAAGTACATTTAACCGACCGTTAACTAATAACAGAGGGTTATCTTGTTGTTCAAAACTCTGTTAACTTTAAACAGGTTGTTAACGTGACGTTAAGTTAACACACCTAAGGACCGCCGCTAACTGTTTAACAGTGTGGTTAACTCGCAAATGGCGTTCATGGCTAACACTGCTTTCATGAGACCAGTTCAGCAAAGAAGGATAGGGTGTATCGTGGACTGGACTTCGATACTGGAAATTATTCTGACGAAGAGTTACATACGAAACTGTAACTATGCACTTCATAGGAACTAAAATACATGATGCCTACGTTTCATCTTTAACACTTGTGTAAAGGTTTATATATATATGTTTTACTACACTAAATGTGTTGATTTCTTCTGTAAATATTATTCAAACAAACACTTTCAAAGAATATAACACGTACACCTTATACCCACGTATGACATGATATTGAACAAGACTAAATGTAGATAGATATCTAATTAAATTAGTTTCATGAAAAAATATCCGAATGATTACATTATGATACTGAAAGTGTAATCAGCGGGATATGGTGATTGTGTATACTATTATTCTACCGACCTTCACCTCAGAGAAATTGCCAAATATGTACAACAATGTTGACGTATGACATCACTACCGTTGAGATTTCTTAAAAAATGGCGGCTGACATCGGTTTTGCGAGGACCCTTCCCTTGATTCAGGCATCGTTTGTACATAAATATGAGATGTAAGTAATCAGAATGATTCTGACTATCTGTGTATTGTTACATGTTTTTATCGTTTTCATTTTAAGAAAGAGAAGAAGCTGCCAGAAATGCCGATTATTACCGTTGTCGTTCTGCGTGATTTTGCGTCAGTCATGACGTCACGCTGCACAGAAACTTAATTGACAGTTTCGTGTAAACACATCACATTCCTGTATTGTATCTATTTTTAATTTCCTATTTCTTGCTACTATGCTCTTTCCATGCAAATGGGTGTCTGAAAATTTGAGAAACTGCTACACAGCATAAAGTCTGAAATTTTCTTTGTTTACATTTCAAACAAGTGTTGTCTTTCCAGCACAGCATTTGTTTCCACCCCCAATATCTTTCGTTTCACTTTATCTAGACACTTGGTATTGGTGACAAAGACCAGTTGTAATTAGATTCTAAAATGTATGAGGAATTCAGTAGGGCATGGACGAGTAGGAAAAAATGGAATCGAGTACCCGCATGTACTTACCCGAATCGGAATCGAGTACTCGGATATGTAAGAAATACATTCGGGTCAACCTCTGAATATTCAATCACGATTTGACAGAGACTATTATAGAAACCTTCAAAAAGTGGTAATAAGACATTAAAACTGACCTCAAGCTATTTAATTTACGTCTGTTTAACCAATATAGAGAGTAACACCATTACTTACATTCAACGAACGTTTCGTTCCTGCTGCTACTGTAACTTAACTACTCACTGCACATGCACAGATAACTTAGAGTCATTAAAACTATGCTCCATTAATCGGACAATACCAATGATGTAAAACCCCGTGAATTTCCGGGTTAGAATATTGATCTTCAGTAACCCATGCTTGTCGTAAGAGGCGACTAACGGGATCGGGTGGTCAGACTCGCTGACTTGGTTGACACATGTCATCGTATCCCAATAGCACACATCGATGCTCATGTTGTTGATCACTGGATTGTCTCGCCCAGACTCGATTATTTACAGACCGCTGCCATATAGCTGGAATATTGCTGAGTGGGGCGTAAAACTAAACTCACTCACTCACTCATTGATGTAAATGTGTGTTACGTCAAAAACGAAAAAGACAAGCTATTGTCTGCCCTTGTCATTACAGAGCTCTCTCCCTTTCCGGGTACCCGATTCCTAGAAATAGGACTCGATTCCAGCTGTACCGGACCCGATTCGAGTACCGTAGTACCCGTCCCAGCCTTAGAATTCAGTGATGCATTTGTCGCCGCTGAATATGAAATATATGTGATGTAATTGGCGTCTCAATACCGGCCTTCGCGAAACCTTGTGAGTTATGAGTGATATGCAGGCCTACTTCGTAGTCACTTTGATTAAATGTTATATTTGAATATCGAAACCTTTTTGTCACAGCGAACACAACACTATCTCTTGTCATTTTACACGATAATGTTTGGAATTTTAAACTTATTTTATAACAATATCTGAATGCTAATGTTATACACTGATGTATTTTATATAAGGAATACAATGGTACAATAGTATTTCTCTGCCGAATCGTTGCAGCGTTCTATAATACACTTATGAAATATAATACATGTTTTCCGTCATTGAAGACATTGAAAAGAACTATCCATGCATTTTCTATAGTCACTTGTGAATTGAACTAAATGGAGGTTCATCTGATC